ATTTTTTTTTTTTTTTTTTGCATTTTTATCAATTCAAAGACTTAATTATTTGTTGAGATTTCATGCTTTTATGATAATATAAAAGATATAAATTATAATCGAACTTTTCTCCTACTCAAACAATTTATTCTTCTCTTATCAATTTGTGCAATATTAAAAATGATATTTAATAATTTATAATAAATATTTAATTAGGTACAAAGCCTCTTCCTTTTAATAGTAACAATATATAGAAACACATTGTTAGAATTATAGGTTCCCTAATAAGAAGAATGAATGTCATCGTATTTCCATAGAATTTGCCACAGAACTCGTTTTAGTTAGTGGATTCGCAAATAAATATTATGCATATTTAATGAATTTTCTAATACAAATATAGTATTTATATAAAAGTGACTTAGTTCATCTCGTACCTAAAAGGCTAGCTCCGCCTCCAAAGACAAAGGTTTTGTATTTAATTAATGTATACAGATATTATGAAGTTTGACCATGTTTTTTTTAAGTTGTCAAGTTACATAATTATAAGTATTTTAGCGATTATATTGATTATTTTATACTCTTTTATAGAACCAACCATTAACCTCGACACCATATACAACTTTTATACTACATACTAGATTATTTAAAAATCAATTATAAGTAATTGTTAATAGTGAAGTATGAATTTATTACTCGAATAAGTTATTAAGTAGCATCCTACAATTGATTAAACTGCGTTATTAATGCAAAAAAATAATTAAAATCATGTTTATATAATTCTTTTATCATTTTTAGGTTACTGATTCATGGTTATACTTACCTTTTTAATGGATTTACCAATTCACTCAAAATATTCTATTAAATTACTTTTCAATAAAACTTTGTCGTCAATGTCTAAAATAAAATTCCATAAATTATTCATTAGCTTTTTAGAAGAGAGCCTTGGTGTAACTGGTAAAGTTATTGTCATGTGGCAGAAGGGCACGGGTTTGACCCGTGAAAATAATACGTTACAGAAATACAGGATAAAATTGCGTAAAATAGACATGTAGGGGTCGTTTGGTACGCGGACTAAATATCCCGGAATTATAACCCCAGGACTAATTTATACTATATGGGAGGTAGGATAAAATAATCTTAAGTTTGATGGGATAATGTGGGATAAGATGAGATATCCTGGATTAAATCCGAGATTAAATTTATACCGTATTTGATTGAAGACAGGATAAATTTATACCTCCAACTAAACACGATATAAATTTAATGTTACGTCTTATCCTACCTTATCGCTTGTACCAAACGATCCCTTAGTGCACAGGCTGCCCTTCATTAATTAATTAGCTTTTAGATAGTATTGAACTCCTTGTTATTTACAAAGCTCATTGGCCTTAATACCTTTCCTTAGCGCAACCCCAAAACTCTGCAGCAGAGAGAAGAAAGAGCCTTGAGAAAGAGAACCAAATCTCTTCCTTAACATTCACGCCTCCATTAACACACACACTCATTTAAAACCCTCTGTTTTCTTTTCCCCTGTTTTCTCTTCATTCTATGCAGTGAAATCAGTAGTAAAATGAAAAAAGAAAAACCCTTTAAAAAGGAAACTCAAATACTCTTCTGATTCTACAAACCCCCCTCCCCCAACAAAACTACCCTACCCCGCAACCCACCCACCCCACCTTCACTCCTCTTTAAATTCCCACTTATTTCATTCTACATTTTCTCAGAGTAAAAAGAAACAGAGAGCTAGCTACTATTACAGAGTGCAAAAAACAGAGGAAACTCTCAGTTATTACACTCTTTTTCAAAAGGCTAAAGAAAAAAGTGCCTTCTCTTTTTCTTTTGCCAAATTCTTTTTGCTCTTTTTTTCTCAACATGGGTTCTTGTAAAGAAGAAGAAAAAACTGATCAACAACCAAAATGGTTATGGGTTAATGGACCTATAATAGTAGGTGCTGGACCTTCTGGTTTAGCAGTTTCAGCTTCTCTTAAAGAAAATGGAGTCCCTTCACTTATTCTTGAAAGAAGTGATTGTATTGCTTCTTTATGGCAACAAAAAACCTATGATCGTTTAAAACTTCATCTCCCTAAACAGTTTTGTCAACTCCCATTATTTGGTTTTCCTGAAAATTTCCCTAAATACCCTTCAAAAAAACAGTTCATTTCTTACTTAGAGGATTATGCTAAACACTTTGGTATAATTCCCAAGTTTAAACAGTCTGTAAAAGTTGCAGAATTTGATCATGTTAGTGGATTTTGGAAGGTGGAAACTCAAGATTTTTTGTATCTTTCAAAGTGGTTGATTGTGGCTACAGGGGAAAATGCAGAGCCAGTTATACCAGAAATTCAAGGGATTGGTAAGTTTAAAGGAACAGTAATGCATACTAGTCTTTATAAGTCTGGTACTGAGTTTAATAATCAAAGGGTTTTGGTAATTGGCTGTGGAAATTCTGGTATGGAAGTTAGCTTGGACCTTTGTAGACATAATGCCATCCCTCACATGGTCGTCAGAAATTCCGTAAGTACATTTCCCTTTCCTCCTTTTATTTTTATTTTTTTCTTTCGATTTATTGTGGGGGCGTTCGCTGTTGCCTGAGCCGTGGTCTACCTGAAATAGTTTTTCTACATTTATAAGATTGAAGTTATGTTTGCGTACAACTTATCCTCTCTAAACCCCATTCATGAGATTACTTTTTTTCTTTCAAATTATTGTGGTGACCTTAACCTAAAATCTCGGGTTTTAACCTTGAACATAGAAACGCTTCTGATAGAAAGCGTTTTATGGACTTTCCGGCGCAAATTTGAATTAGTCGGATGATGCAGATAGGGGCGAAGCCAACCATATATCTACGAGTTCGACAAAATCCAGTAGTTTTAACTCAGACCCTTTATCTGTGTTAAAAAGGTTATTGAACATGTATAGATAGTTTACGTGGAACCGAGAAGACAAATTGGATTATGCTTTAGAACCTATAAACTAAAAATTCTAACTCCGTCTCCCGAGGCAAAATAAGAAAATAAAAAAATATGTAGTATCATCTTCTTAAGAAATTGATTTGTTAAGCATGTTTGAGATTAGCTTTCATCCTTGTTACACCATTTTTTTTTATAGGTACACTTTCATAATTTTTGGAAAAATTTAAAGTGTGTATTAAGTTAGGGCATGTTTTAAGCTAATTTCTTTTGGCTACTTTTTAATTTAATGTTTTTGGATGCAGGTGCATATTTTACCAAGGGAAATGTTAGGGATATCAACATTTTCAATAGCAATGGCACTTCTCAAATGGTTGCCTATAAGAGTTGTTGACAAGTTGCTATTACTAGTAGCCAATTTGACCTTAGGTAGCACAGATAAGTTAGGTCTCCGGCGACCAAAAACCGGTCCACTTGAACTGAAAAATGCCACCGGAAAAACTCCGGTACTCGACGTTGGTGCATTGTCACAAATAAGAAATGGAAAAATTCAGGTAAATTCACAAAAATTCTTGCTTTTGTCAAATTAAATCTTGGGTATTTTTAGTTTATTTTTCTGTATTTTTGGTAATGGTGATTTTAATTTTATTTTATTTTGTATATTCTTGCAGATTATGCACGGTGTGAAGGAGATAACTAAAATAGGAGCAAAGTCTATAGATGGAAAAGAAGGAGAATTTGATTCAATAATCCTAGCAACTGGATACAAAAGCAATGTTCCTTCTTGGCTTAAGGTATACTATTTCAATAGTATTTTTATTTAAGTATAAATTTGTAGGATTCAAAACAAAAATAAATAAAAATAGAATGCATGGAGCAATGACAAAATGGATAATAAGCCAATGAGGATTTTGTTGTTACCTGATAAAGTTTCTAGTTTTATCTTTACTCTCAATCTCACATCACTTTCATTCTTACACATGCAGTAGGCTACAAAACGTTTCTTAAATCAAAAAGAGAATTTCTGATCTCATTTGTCTGGACTTTTTCCTATCATCCCCCCAACTATTTTATCTATTTTCTGCATTTTTTCGAGGCGCAACCCAAATAAAAAGGGAAAAAAAAAATAGTAGTAGTAACTTATATGGAGTTTTAATTTGATAAACTCTATTGTATGTACTTCCCAGAGGTTAGGAGTACTAGAATGACAACTCATGTCTCAATTATTATTTTCATATCCTGTGTACTATATAATAATAGATATAATATAGACTAAGAGCTACTATTATTAAATTTTTAAATGTTTTTATTAGAGTGACCTCTTTCTTTTTTTCCTTTTTTTTTTGTGGTCCAAAATTGATCAAAGAAATGAATATTTCAACATATATATGTATAGGAGAGTGCACTTAGTAGACCATGCATAGTGGTATATGTTCTGTGCTTTAGATGTAGTGAAAACACCAACTTGCTTAGACTTTTAGGTCATCTAGGGGAAGATGGGATTAGACTAGGAATTCAGGATTCACATGCAATTTTGTTTTTTGTTTTTTCAAAATTTATGTTGATGCATTGACCAAAATTGACAAAATTCAAATTTATAATTAATTCTTGGGCTTAATCTAGAGATATTTTTAGGAAATATAATACTGTATAGTCGCTTCCAAAAATAATAGCAGAAACATTTGTACTTTTTTGTATTAATGTATAATATACATATATAATCAGTGTATATTTTTGGAATATTTGGCTAGCAGATATAATTATTTTTTGCTGATCGGAAAGATGTATAACTTACTCTATTTTTTGAAGCAGTTATTAAAATTTTAATGTTAATATTTTTAATTTAAATGCTGATTTTTCTTTAATTAAATTTGTAGGGAACTGACTTCTTCACAGAACAAGGGATGCCAAAAACACCATTTCCTAATGGCTGGAAAGGGGAAAATGGATTATACACGGTGGGGTTTACAAGAAGAGGGCTTTTAGGGACTGCAAATGATGCAAAAAACATTGCCAGGGATATTAGTGATCAATGGAGGAAATACAAGGGCTTCTGCAAAAATTTTTGTACTTCAAGAAATCTATCAGATAGCCAGGGTATATGTTTTTAGGTTTACGTTAGGATATAAATTTTTCCAAAGGATCATAGTTTTGGAAAAATAGAGTTAGGGTTCATAAAATTGTAATTTTATTTCTTCAATATTTCAACAAGAGGAAATTTCTTCTTCTGTGCTGTTCGTTTTCTTCCACCTCTATCTCTTGTCAATTTTGTAAATTAATCAATTTTGCAAAGGAGGCTTCCCGTGTTCTATGTTGTAATTTTCTGAGTTAGCATTTTATTTAATGTTGAAATTAGATTTTTCAAAGAAATGTTCCAACAACGTCATATTCTCATTTTAAAAGAAATGCTAAATGTGTGTTTCAAATGGATTATGGGAGAAAAACATGAGTAAGAAAATTGGTTTTATCCTTTAATGAAAAATTTGTTTGTGTAAAATATTTTTCGTCATACTAAATAAATTTAAAATTATAAACTAATACTTCCTTTTGTTCACAATAAGTGATCATTTTATCTTTGACACACCCATTAAGAAAATATAAATTCATAGAGAAAAAAAGTTATATTCACTGTATTAATCTTAATTAATTAATTATGTAAATGAACACTTATTTTGGACCAAAATAAAAAGATAAAAATGATCAATTATTGTGGATTGGACGGAGTAAATTTTATATGTAACGTGCTAATATTATTTTGAGAAAAGCTCACCTATTACATGCTAGTTTAATTGATGTATCATTATATATTCAACGTAAAAAGTCAAAGATGAGATCAGCTTCATCTGAAAACCAAGAAAGCCGTTAGATTTTTTTTTGCTTTTTCAGTTGTTGAGATCGACTTCTTTGTTTGAAACACAAATGCTTTGCTGATGCTATGGAATTGTACTAAGAAAAAGTACACTTTTGAATGCTAAAACTATCTTTGGCTTATGCTAATCAACCATTTGTTGACTTGACCAACCAGTTAAACTCGAAATAACCCATCAAATTATTACGTCGAAACAGATAAAAAAAAGTGTAATCAAGAATTATGTAAATTTGAAGGGATTTAAGCTAATAATTTAAGAAAAATATATTATCTTTCGTATTTCAAAAAAAAGGAAAGAAATTGGGGTCATGTTGTTTTGACAAACTCATCTTTTAGACTAAACATATTTTGAACCAAGTTAACTTTGGACAATTAAATCATAATATGTATATTAATTTGATCTCCAGCAATTGCCACCTTTACTATGTTGAATAGACTGTAACTGGTAAAGTTGTTGGCATATAACCAAGAGGTTACGGGTTCGAACCGTAAAAATAATTTTTTGCAAAAATATATGATAAAATTGTGTACAATAGATCCTTATGATCCGGATCTTTCCCGAATATAATGCATCCTTTTACGATCTTGAATAGCCAAGAATGAGTATAAATACCCAACCCCCACCCAAAACCAGCCCAGGTCAGCTTCCTACAAAGGGAAAAGAAAGAGTAAGGCGAGAAAACCAACCCCAAGTCTACAAGATGCTAGGGGAGGGTTGAGGGAAACGTCATGACTGAGTACAGGCTTCTTTCTTTGTAAGTTTCTGCAGTTTAAAAGCTTTATAGCAGAGTACTCTATATGCACGCTGATTATATTATTGAGACAATGATGGACCTCTGACATTATCTATTGTACTATGACCCTATACCTCTCGCTACACATATGACGATTTTTGGGTTTTTTCGTTCGATATTCGATGTTTGATATTCGCATTAATGTCTTGATTAATTTGAATTCGCCCCGCATAAAATTCATTAAACAAATATTTTTTCTTATCATTTAGATCGAGAATTCTGATTATGAGTAGAAGAATCATATTAATCTCACGACAATCATCTATGGTCATTTATATTGACGAGAGAGGCAGATCTAGCCTTCTAACATCGATCGTGTGTAACTAAATTCATAACTTTTGATGCATAGCATAAATTTATGCGTAAAAATTTGCTAAAAATATAACAAATGGATAATAGATATGAACTTCATAGTTTTAGAAATATAATGAATTTAATAGTAAAAATCTTAAAAAGCTTATATAATTCAAATCCTGGATCCGTCTTTGATTTACGACGGCTTATCCCCTTATTCATTATCCAACCCCCCAACTGCACTGGCATTTCTTCCAAAGCTCTCGTCATCATCATGAATTGATAAATAGGGGCAAATTTCCTACTTTAGCAAATACTCCAATTGTGTAATATAACCCCGTTCATCTAAATATAAAACAGTTGATAGAGAAAAGTAAAACAAACAATATATTCTTAAAATCGAATATTGTCTGACTCTTCAAATAATAGTAATAATATCATATAAAATGAGATGAAAGAGATAAAAAAAAAAAATTCTCTAGAAATGCAGTCGAAGATAGCAGCTACCTGTTTAGTGCATTGATAATTTTAACCTAGGTAAACACGCAAGCAAAATGTGTACTAATATTTCTATGGATTGGAATCTCTCACTCTATTTATTTCACGTCAAGTTTAGGTAAAATCTGCCGCCATTATATGACAAACGAAGAGAGAGGAGGAAAAAAGAGATCAAGAAAAAGTCCAAAGGGAGAGTTAAGAGGTGAAGTTTTTTTTTCTTTTGCAGTGTGCCAAGCATTCAATAGGGAAGAAGGAAATGCAATATCCAAATCACACGCTTTCCTTCTCAGTTTCTTACATGCACGCCTGTATTACACTGACTTCTAGTTACGTCATTCATTAATTTCTCTCCCTATACTCTTTCTGCAATTTTCAGAGAGAAAAGACTATAGATTTGTATCGACTGCGAATGGTTCTATGAAATGATTGAAATCTCTTTTTTCTTCTTTCTTAACTAAAGATTTCAGAAATTAAAAGTAGAGAACTTTTCAATAGCGAACACTGCCGTTTGACAGGATTCTTGCGATAAAATTATTTTCTGAAATCTATAGAGTTAGTTAACTAAATATCCCACTTTCTGAAATTATGACCTGTAGATTATGAATTCGAACTATAGAGTTAGTTACTAACTAATATTTGCGTTATGGTAGATCCTGTATCAAATTCCTTGGGTGCAGCTCTTCTATGATAATACAGAATATTTAATGCACTTGGTTGTCCCGAGTAGACCGGCCTATTAGATACAAATTCAAAAGAATCGGATCAATAATTACGAATAAGAATAAAAATTAAAATAAAAATAAAATAAACATGCATGATTTATGAAGAAGAGCTATCTATCGATCTATGGAGTAGCAGCTACAGGTATTAATGTGTTATAGGAACTGATAGATTCATTTCAATCTTTCTTCCTATTTGAATGCTATCCAATCTTTATTTCTTTCTTTCTTATTTTCGTTTCACTTAATTCCTACCACAAACTCCAATGTCTGTGCCTTTTCAAACTATCAACTTGCTAACATTGTACTATTGGCCACCATTTATTAACTCTATGACGTTCATCTAGATTTTCTCCGTATCTTTCAGCAGCGTCCATATCATAGACATAGTAAAACCACATTCTCTATATTTCAAATTATTAATTAATATTCCACCTCTTTTCAAAAAGATAAGATATACTTTATTACGATATTATATAAGACAGTCAAAAATCTTTGCCAAGGATTATATTGGTGTGAGTGTGACCCCCCCCTTTTTTTTTTGAAGGTGACTTTAAATAACTGAAATAGAACTACTAACTATTTTTGGACATGAAAAGGTATACGCTATCTGATATTTTCTTCACTGATAAATCCAAAAAGGAGCTTCCCCTCCCCCCCACTGCACGTAATTTCCCATATTTTTCTTTTTGTATAGAGATTAGAGAGTAGCGACTAGGGAGTCACTCTTCAAATGGCTTGGAAACTTTGAAAATGACTTTACATTTACTCTGCCAAATCAATAATATGACTGGTTTCTAAGATCCTTTCGTCCTTTTTTTTTAATTTAATAATAGTAGTCCGAACTAGTTTGAGTGCGATTAATTCAATGAATATTTATTAATCTCATTAGCATAGATATCGAGTAACAACACTGCCCTCCAAGAATTTGGCAGATGCTCACCAAATGTTTTCTAAGATCTTTTCATTCTTTTCCTCTTATTATAACTACGTTGTATTTTTTTCAAATTGCAATATGTACAATATCCTTTTCTTATGATAATTTAAATTTTGCTTGCTCAAAAGGACACTAATTAGTGAAACTTTAAGCGTTTTATTTAATTTTCATACCAGAGGAACTCATGAGTTAAAGAAGTGATTATATAACTAAATATCCCACTTTTTATGCACAATCAAACTACCAGATAAGCATTTTATGGTTGAAACGCTTGGATTAAGTAAAGATAAAAACCTGTTATGGCAAATGAATTGAAATGAGTTTGACTCTGATCATATCATGATAAAGAAGTAAATTTGCTCCTAATTTAACCCGAAAAATTAGGTTATAAGGTGAGAATGTGGAACTCAACGTACTGGTCTACATTTAGGTTTTTCCTTTTTTCTTAATCTCTATATATGGACAAGGTCTATATCTAATATTTAAAAGAAGTAAGTAAAAAAATAGTTGCTAGCAAATATATTATTGTCAACTCAATATAAATTATACTACTAATAATTAATACGTTTCAAGATTTCATTCACACCCAAGTACCCAAAAAGATGTTTGGTTCAACTAAACAAAAACTCAACACTGTCGAAGATTACAAATGACAAATTGAAGTCACATGAAATTAATGTATCTTCGATAAGAGACAAACAAGGTGGGACTAAATTGTTAGTAGGACTGAGATTGCTCTCTCGACCTCAAAAGTAGACTGCAAATAGCATTTGGAATTTCAAGTATAGATTGGCATGACTTTACATGCATGCAAACATTACTGTCAAATACTGTTCATTCAATTCATTGCTGCCATGCAACCAAATCGCGGCATGCACTTCTATACATTCACATGATATATATAAGCACATGAGTGGATTGCTCAACGAGTTTCCCATCGAACTTTTAATCTTAAGAGTTCTAAACAAAATATATTACCGTTTTTAATATATATGCACAGATATATCTAGAATTTCTGCCTAGGTTAACCGGTCCGCCTCTGTATATAAGGGTTCTAGAATTTCTATGTACATAAGTCCGCCTCTGTATATAAGTGTGTGTATGTGTGTGCATATTTTGTTGCA